CAGGAACTGGCAAATTACGGAGAGCTCTCCAATTTCAAAATAACCTACAGAAATCTGAGGCGCTCAACCTCACGGTCTCCGCCTCCACCATGCTCCTCTTTCGCAGGGCGACTGACCAAATCACCTACCTTGGGACGGAAATTCCAGCGTCCATAGACAAGGTTTTTGAGTCGAACTTCCCCCCGTTCCTGACCATTGTCCACCGAGAACAGCCTGCTTAAGATGAATATTCTTCCTAGGCTCCTGTACCTTTTACAAACTCTGCCTGTCCGGATCCCAATCTCATTCTTGAAATCGGTACGTAGGGAGTTTACATCCTTTCTGCGGGCAAACGGCACACACAGACTGAATAAAACCATTTTAGCACTGCCCAAATCTCAGGGGGGAATCGGATTCCCTACGCTACCACTTGGCGACTCACATGGCCAGGGCATTTGAGTGGTGCAACGTCTCCTCAGATAAACGCTGGCTTCAACTGGAACAAATCACCTCTCCATGGCCCCTGGCGGGTTTGCTATGGACTGAAATGTCCCTGCCCCGGGAACTTCTCCAGTATCCACTAGCGGGTAACACGCTTAAAATCCTTCGGGCATCACCCAGTTTACTTTCCACTGGCACGACCCCGTCAATGATGACCCCCGTGATCGTCAACCCTGTTTTTGTCCCGGGTCTAGAGGATAAAGCATTTACTCGTTTTGTGACATCTAACCAGTTCTGTATCGGCCACTTCTGGCCTGCACGAGACTATATGTGCTTACAAACATTGGCCACCAAGGTGAACCCTCCCCTCTTGAGATGGCAAGCCCTACAACTCCGCCACTTCCTTTCTAGTGTGCTGGGCTCCTCCGCGCTTGGGCTTGTGCTCTGTCGAGGAGCGGTGTCTGCGGGGAGAATACGTGGAGCATGGTCTAGCCACTGCACATGCCCTACTGACTCAATCACAGCCTACTCATGAAACGGTCTTCCTGGCCAAATGGGAGAGGGATTTGGGCCTGACCTTCACTCAGGAACAAAAAGATACGGTATTACACTTTGCTCATAAAGCCTCCCTGGCCAGTTCCATTCAAGAATCGGGCTATAAAATACTTATAAGATGGTACTTTGTCTCGGCCAGGCTCCACAAGATGTTCCCTTAGTCCTCGCCAACCTGTTGGAGATGCGAGCAAGACGTTGGCTCTGTAATGCAAATTTTTTGGTCATGTCCACGCCTTGCGGAGTCCGGGGATGCGGTCCTCCGCATCATCACTCAGCTAATCGGGGTTTCCTTGGTGAATGACCCGGCAGCTGTCCTGCTCCATCGGACCTCCTTAACCAGGTCCCGGTCCCTCATTGATCCACCTGATTAATGCGGCGAGAGCTTGCATACCAATGTGCTGGAAGAGTACAGCTTCCCCCTCGGTAAAACCGTGGCTCACAAAAGTGGACGAGATCCGAGGACTGCCACTCTGCATCATACGGATGCCAAATGTAGGAAGACATGGTTCTACTGGCTGGAGTTCCTCTACTCCCCAGAATACGGAACCTTGATGGTCTCCTAGTGTGCCCCTTTTTCATTAAATGAGAGAGACTTGACCCCAACCCCCCCCCCCCGCTGGGTTCTACCATACATTGTTCCCCTTTGGCGGCCCCAAATAGGGTCCCTTTTTTATCCCACGTGTGCAGGGTCCCTCTGCCCAGAAATGCAATCCAAGTGTGATCGTGCGATCAGGTCAAGCTATCTATGGTACACAGTTACGATGGAACTTCATGATAGAAGCTGAATCCCTTTTCACGTTATGCACCACCAATCACCCCAGTCCGGTCTTGTCCTTGTTGGTATTATCCCTGCTACCTCATAGTGGCCTATACCCGCAGATTTGCAGCCTCCAGGCCCTTTTTATGTATCCTTACACTACTCAGGGTTCTTTTTTGAATTTATTGTGGGCTGGTTAGGCTGTCGCCTATGTGGAAAAGATGTGTGATAGATCATTCACGTATACTGTTTTGTTTTATGTGATTACCTGTATTATGAAAACAATAAAATAAAAAAATTAAAAAAAAGAAACACACAGAGAGGTGGGACATATGTCCCTATGTCCCTCAAAGGACTACATGAAAAAGATTTTACAGTAAGTAAAACAATCTTATTTTCTTTATCAGTCAGATCCAAAAGCAGCTGAACTGAGGGGTGGAAACAGCCACTGATAGGACCAATGAAAGGTATAATACCTTCCCTACATACCATCCCCATACCTTCGCCGCATCTATGATGTGCCATTGTTTGAGAGGGAATACCAGGTACTCACTACTGTGGAGGTTGGAGGGTGTCTTGTGTCCCAACACTGTAGGCAGGATCTGTGACCCATTGTAGGGGTGCAGCAGTCTGGACCCCCTGTGTAGTAACACAGAGCCACTGCAACAGTGGTAGCGGTACATGGTAAGCTCAGTGCACACCAGAAGAAGGAAAATGGTGGGCACATGAGCAGTACAGTACCCCAGAGGGAGGCTCCACAGGCCAATTATGAAACTCAGCAGTAGCAACTAAGCGGGAGTAGCTCAGTAATTTATGGAACATGCTCCATCCAATCTCCACTCTCCTACTGGGCATACCCCCGAAAGAATCCCTGTATCTGTACAACACCCTGCAGTAACTGCACAAAGTACCAAGTTGAATGTGCCATGCACCATCCAGTGTTCTGAAAACATTACAGGCTGGCCCTGTATCTTCCTACCAGGGGGTCCAGGTATAGCTTGCCAAGGCTCAGGGCTAAGGTCACCTGCATTTTTGGCATCTTCCCTGGTATGCACAAAAAAAATAAATGGTTCTGAACAGGAGACATGTGCAAACCATTTAAGGGCTGCTCTAGAAGTGCACCTGCAAGTCAGAGACTTGATGTTAGTGTTTGGTTCGTACATGCCTCACAAGGACAGTTACTGACCACCTTGCTATTATGGTCCCACTAACCCAGCAATACAGTTTCCCATACAGATTAAGCAGCTCATAAGAATCAAAACAGTAGCATCGAAGCAGAGGAGTATTGTCAATGTGTCCAGTGCATGGGGTGCACACAGCCACAAGAAGCCTTTTACACTAGCCCACTGTATTCACAAAATGGCCTACATACAACATATTTCTGATACCTTTGTCTTTTAGGTTCCAGCATGAAATTGGCAGAATATACCTCCGTTAGAAAAGTGCAGGGGAGATACAGTGGACGGCCAGGCAGGGCAGCAGGCAAGGGAAGGCAAGGGATCCAGATCTGTAACTGGATATACCCAGGACAAATCCAGCATAGGATATACAGTATGGGGAGATGACTGGACCCAGGATGTGTGACACCACTTTCACACAATTCAGGACACACACTCCTCTTTGACTTGCATTAGCAGCATGCTTATTATAGGCCAGGCAACTAGCTTTTTCAGAAAGATTGAAGCACTAGCAATACCCATATGCCTCACATGACAGATGTACTTTCACATCATTTGAAGAAGAAATGTGCCATATATAAATATACTCTTAAAAGTAGAAAATTCTTGCCAGGCTTCGTGGCCAGTTTTAAGACTATATATATATATATATATACAGTATATACTGTGTATATGATTTTATTATGGTGAAGACTGGATTTGTTTTTGTTTTTAGTCAATAAAAAAAAGAAATACTGCATATGAATATCTTGTGTTCTCAAAAAGTTATTAAATACTGAAACCAAAAATATGAAAGTAAGCAAGAAAAAAAATACTATTTTCCTCTTAAAAAAAACACTTAGAACAAGCATGTGCTTTTACACTTTGTAAAACTTTATTAAATATTTTCTTCCTGTTACATTTCACATATTATAAAAATATATACTTAAATATACATATTTTCATCTGATTGCAAGCTTGACAGCCAATGATTTAAATGACAAGATTTTTTCAGACAGTACAATCAAACTAAAAAACAAAAACAAAATATAAAATGAAATTATAACGCCAAAATGCACAAATGGAACATGAACAGTACCATAAAAATGATGTACACACTATATTTCAGTGAAAACTGCATGTCAAAATGATCAGCAAATATACACTGCCTGGCCCAAAAAAAGTCACCACCTAGATCTAGCTAAGAAAATAGATAAGAGCCATTCCATTGCCTTCCAAAAAATGAGGTCAGCTGCCTACCTGAATGACCAGGTTTTTCCATCAATGTATTTTTTTCTTACCTGATGGCACATGGGGCATATTCCAAGGTGACAATGCCAGGAGTCATTGGGCTCAATGTGTGAAAGAGGAGCATGAGACATCATTTTCAAACATGGATTAACCACCACAGAGTCCAGACCTTAACCCCATTGAGAATCTTTGGTATGTACTGGAGAAGAATTTATGCAGTGGTTCAACTCTCCCAACATCACTACAATATTGTGGTGAAAAACTAATGCAGCTCTGGACAGAAATAAAGGTTGTGACATTCCATAAGCTTATCGAAACAATGCCAGGCAAATGCATGCCATAATCAAAGCTAAAGGAAGTAAAAAGGAAAAACTAGAGTATATGAATTTTTTTGGGCCAGGCAGTGTAGATGCAAATTTATATGCTGAAGTTGCATGCAAATCTCCACATTTGCTGTCCTCTACTTCCTCCAGTACTTTAAAAACAGTCATTGAGAACATATATTGCATCAACGGACCTATAGGAAGAACATATATTGCATCAACGGACCTATAGGAAGGTGTAGGAGATTGAAGTGGGTGGGGCCAAGCTCATGCTTTCCAGGAAAAATTAAGATTTGAATATAACTTCAGCCACCTATATTGTCTGAATCTGCTGATTGCTATGACATGGATTTTCTATTAGAGTAACCACTGATTTTAAACAACAAGTTATACATTTTTTAGTTTAATTTAATTAAAAATGAAAACACCTAGTAACAATTGTACAAAAGAAAAAACTGCACATGCCATTCCTTTGCATCCTAGGACTGTTCAAAACCCCACACTGTTTGGGGCACCCAAAAAGGACATAAGTAGAACATAATATTAAATAGCTTGCAACAGAACTTCAACACGTCTGGACATAGCTATGTTTTCAAGTTTACTTTCTATGGTTTCCAAAATCTCTGGCGACAGCATTAGTTGTGTCATATTTCCAACTCGTTGTTGCACACACGCATGGCAGAAAAAGCCTCCTTTATCTTCGCTCTTGTCACTCTGTAAAAAGTAAATATAAAACACTTGTTTAAACATTAACTGAAGGTACACCCCAACATTCATGCTTGCAGAAAAAAAAGGACATCCCAACCGGTAGGTCTGTGACTGTCAGACCTAAAAAGGGCCAGTAAGTATATATTTACTGTATATCAAGTAGCTTTAACTTGCATGACGGAATTTGACACTTAAAGTAAAACATGAAAAAGCCTTTAAGGCCCCATTCACACTTGGCGATTCGCAAATCGCGCGTTTGTCGCGTGATTTGCATTTTGCGTGACATCTTGTATCAAAAAGCATTGAATCGCAGCAAAATCCACTCCAAAAAGGATTCTGCTGTAGCGACACACGACCCGCGACAGCAGGACCCTTTGCCCCATTGCAAAGCATTGAAGAGCGATATCGCGCGGTAAATAGCCGCGATATCGCGGGAATTACCGCGCGATAAATCGCTCAATGTGAACTGGGCCTAAATGATAGAGGCACTTAGATAACATTGGTATAAAAAGTATGATATTTTCCAACATATTGCTGACTTCCAGGCCCTTGATCCTACAAAAAGAAACCATCAACAGCCTTTGGTAGGCTTCCTTAGAGTCCATTCACACTGATGTTTTAAAGGTAATTCATGGTAAACTGCATTACTGCAATGTATCCTCGGTTCACGAACTTAATTCTTTCCACGAACTGATTTGGTCATGAACCGAATCAAACTGTGATCTTGACTGGAAGCCATGACCATGTGTCAGAGCAGGGAAAATGGCTGCCGTTGTGTTCGTCACTCGAAAACGGAGTTCGCGAACGGAGGCAAAATTTTGCTGAACTTCCTGTTCGCGAACAGAAGCCTTTGTGAACCGAGGTACCACTGTATATGTAACAAAAGAAAAGAAAAGCGTAACACCAGAGCGTTTTGCAATGTACAGTGTATACTGGCCCCTAAAATTAAACTCAAGGTTGCAATTTAAAAATGTTTATTTCCCAAAATTTTGGTGCAAATTTGTTGACTAGGCAAAATGTCATTTTGACAAAGGGAAAGGCAAAATAAAGCTGGATTTTAAAGGGCGGTGGGCTGTAAATGGCTCCTAATGGTTTTCCAAAACACATCCCCCTCCCATTAGCCTCATTATTTAACTTTTTTTCTTTTCTTACAGAAACAATTAAAAAGATAAAATAGAAAAAATTGACAGCAAGAAAAAAAAAAAATATATATTTTCCCACAAAACATAAAAAAAAAAAAAAATCACAAATACACTTAATAAACTTTCCTAAATACACCCTAAAAATAAAAAGTTTTTTTTCCCCAAGCAAAATGTACGAAATCTTGCCCTAAAATTACCTTTTGATTTTGGAACCTTAAAATGTCATGACAGAACAACAGTGCTGTAATAAATATACTTTCAATATATATAACTTTCCTTACAATTAGAAGTATTTTCCCACGTATTTTGTGCTTATTATTATAAATTCCTTTGTCAAAAGTAACATTAATTACATGGAAAGAAATTTAGAGATCTAGATGACAATTTATGAGACCCTGAATGCCTAAGCAGATGCAGGTTTTTAAGTGTTATCTTGTCTTTCATAATTTCTGATAACTCTAATGGCACTAATGAACAAATTCAGAAGGGCAAAGGCTGACGACGTGAACAATGCAGAGCCCTGCTTGTTAAATCATGACGACATATACTGTATATAACCATACTGCTCATTTAGTCTCCTGCAAGAGGAGGAAATCTTAGGACGAGAGGCAATCATAAAACTACCATAAGAAAAAAAATTCCTGTAATACTATCATCGGATACGACAGTATATCTATCTATTATCGGTTGCTTACGCTGGCCGTACTTTGAGTTCTAACAGTGGGTAGCCCTACCACCTCAAAAAAACTAGATTAATCATTCGAGTTTTGCAGCAGGAGCCACAAACAGATAGAGGAATCTGTTAGATTTCTTTTGATCAGCCTGCAGGAATCTAAGGCTGGGTTCACACCTAGGCGTATGGAATATGCGCGATTTGCGGTAAAAGAAATGCACAACAAACGTGCGTTTACGAGGGCTATCCGGCTGTATCCTAATGGATACGCGTGGACAATACGCCCCAAAGAAGCTCCTGTACTCCTTTGGGCGTAGGGCGTTTTTCAGCACGTTCCTACGCGCTGAAATACGCCCAGGTGGGAACCATGCCCATAGGCAATTATTGGTTTTCACATGTTGAGCATTTCACAGCGCGTAGGAACACGTGTGAACCAGGCCTAATAGTGGAATCTAAAAGATCAAATGTAATTTATTATCACTAATCGGTCTTAAATGCCAGCTGGATGAGGTGTTACATAGATTTTACAAAAGAATCATGTAATAATGACTGAAGAGTTGTAAAGTGTCCTTACATAGGTAATTGGCAGTCTTCTCATGGTCAGCACTGACTTGTCAGTGATGGGATTCCTGCAGTGCCCCAGAGTGCAGACTACAGGGCCGTCCTTCAGCACCTCACTGGTCAACTCTGCTTTCAGTGAGTACTCCTGGAAATAGTCAAATAGACAGTAAATTACTAGATCAGTGGGGAAGCAAAACATATACATATGTCGATGTTAGTCAAACTTTATAAACCCTGCTTGTTTGGAAGTTTCTTCCAAAAAGGAGCAGCAAACTCCAATGTGTACATTAACACATGCATACAGTATATGCAATTATGTACATCAAGCAGCATCTTTTGAAAGATCAGGTTAATATTCAGGTTTATGACAGATTACTTTTAAAGAAAAACCAAAGGGTTAATGTTTTTTTTGTGCAGGTGCTAATAAGGATGCACAAGGATTCTTACACTGCTGCAGAGTAGGGGAGAGAGGCTCTAGGGACCAGCCTAATGCTGGGCACACACCTTACAACCATCGCAAGACTTTTGTCTTGCGATGGTTGTAAGGTAATTTGAAAAAACGTACAATCTGCCCATCTTGGACAGGCAGATCCTACTTGCGATGATCGCAAGCCCGCCCCGCTGAGGGGCGGGCTTTCCCGATGACCGCAATGCTGAACGGGCAAGTGTGCGCACACCGGCCCATGCAGCATGTATCTTACAAACATGCCACACACCCGCCGACAATCGTACGATGCTCGGCAGGTTTTCGAACATGTTCCTAAGATAAAAGTCGTGCGACCTTACAGTAGCAGAGGTCGCACGCCTTCCACACACCTTGCGATAATCGTACGATCTCAGGATTTCCAGCGATTATCGCAAGGTGTGTGGGCACCTTAAGAGCTTGAATGATCAGGTGAGTAAAACGTTTTTAGCACCTAGACACAAACGAGCAGTTATGCCTGCAAGGGTTAATACAAAAAATGCCCCTGGAATTCTTGTTTAATATACACTGTGTGTCCAGTAATATCAACTTTGTGCATCAAGCAGTGACAGGTACAATCTTTCATTTAAATGTATTTCCCCCTTTTACCGTCACATTTGAGAAACCCTAAAAAACTTTGTTTGTTATGCGTTCCTATTCACACATCAGACCTAAAAATATAGTTAAAAACGTTGCCTACATTTCTAGTTGTCTCTTTGAAACTGGCTTATAGCTAGGACTTTATAGGCAGCTTCTATTGTTTAGAATAGGCAGCAATGTGCAATTGGAGGACACATTAAGGGACAGTTTCTTAAAAAGGTGTATTGACACTCAAGCCTTGAGATCATTAATCCTTTGTTAGGACAGACAGTGTGCCCATCTAGTTCAAAACTTATAAGGAAGATCTGCCAGCACAGTACTGACAGGGTGGATAAAGGTAAGCATAGCTCCCCTGCATCCTCTTAAAGGAGAAGTATTGGGAGAGTAAAATATTCTTACTGCAGCTGTTACACGCTGGCTCTGTAGATCGAGAGCTGAACAATCATGTGACCAATGATCGCTCAGCTCACAGTCTTTGCCCTGCAGAGAATTCTTCCAAGAATCTTCTCCCTAGATGGATTACCCCTCCCCTCTCTGTTCCCGGAACCAGCTGTCAGTCAGACATCCTGGTGGACCCTGACAATAATCTTGGTCTACAGTGCGGCCTGCTATTTTTGACACATAAAGGGAAGTAAAGGCAAAAAAGAGGTTTGGCTTTAGTTCTCTTTTAAAGCAAACTCCCATTAAATCCTGTCCCCCTACCAACACTCCCTCCCACGTCTAACCTATCCTGCCAAGTGTTTTGTTTTTCTTACCTGGTGAAGAAAATTATACTAACCTGGGTCCCCCAATCAAGGTCCCTTGCTGATGCCATTCCCACCAGCAGGGAGTGCTACTCCAGTGCTGCACAGTATACTTCAAGTGCCATTCCCCTTGACTCCACTCAGACTGAGGTCAATAGTCTTTTGGATCCTTAAGAGGACCCCTCTGGTGGACAGTCAATGGTAATTGTGCATGTCATGCATAAAGTGACGTGGACACTCGCAAGGAGAACCCCAGCAGGCAGTAAACAGAGAAGATAAGGACCCAGTGCTGGATGGTCTAGTGACCCTGGCTTTAGGTAAATGAAAAAGGGGACCTTGAATTTATTTACTTTTCGGCCCAGCAATCAGTGAGGGGTGTGGCTTTTATTTCATTCTGGCGTTGGGCTTTAACATTATATAGCACGAGAAAGATAAGGGTTTTAGCAAGTAAAAATGAAAGCAGCATTTACATTTAAAATAGGTGTTATCACAATTTGGCTGCAAAAGTGGAAATACAATTTAGGCTCATTATGCTGTGGTGACTGTTAAAGTGATTATTAATTCCACATTTAAAAGGAACCTGTTAGGGTAGGTATATGGAAGGATTGATAATCTGCTTTGAAATGTGCTCATGCAAATCAACTTCTGTGACTTTTGTTCCTGGTTACAGATTCACTAGGTAAAGATACCAGACACAGAGTGACATCCCTAGAGCCAACACCTTTATATACAAGTCAGCAAGGGCAGCTCTCATATTTCTCTCTGGGCAGAGTACCTTCAAAGTCCATACTTTGAACTAAATCACAATTGGATGTAAATAAACCTCCAAACATACTGTATTAAGATAGGGAACTGTGCACACAAAATGGTCAGGAGCTAAATTACAATGTGATTAAAGAAGAGTAAAGTATACGAACATGCAAAGCTTCTTCCTATACTGAAAGAGAAATGGTAACACTTACCCCTGCCAAAGTCAATATATTTTCTATTGATTTAGTTATGATGAGATGTTTTTTTGCTCGGGTTGCAGCCACATACAGCAAATTCCATTCATCTTCAACAGATGAATCTGGAACAGAGATAGAATACTTTGATGTTGTAGGAGATACATGAATTTCCATCAGTCACATCACCCTTTCCACTGAGTGCCTGTGTAGATCACACAAATTGGTTGCAATGTTGCATTTGGTAGATGGTCATCACAGTTTATTTGTGGATATATTTATTGGATGGATAACATTTGGAAACATAAAACTTATTTCAATGAACCTACTACTACTAGAATATGCTCCATGTAATCTCCAATACAGCGCACTATTCAGTGGACCCAACAAGATGCAAATTTTTCCCTTAGGTCCTCCTCTGCTGATTGACGGCAGGCGGGTGGAATAGTCAGCCTGCTATAGGCTATCGCAATTTGAAATAACCAATAGCGGGCTGGTCCGCTATTGGTCCGGAGTGGCTGGGAGCAATCAGCAGAGAAGCAGACCTGAGGGAGAACTTTCTCTTTCAGTTCCCATGATCTGCTGATTGACAGCAGGAAGTGGCCGGGTTTAATAGCCAGCCTGCTATTGCAGTTGAAATAGCCAATAGCAGGCTGGCTATTACACTGCCCACTGTTTACACTCAGCTGCCGGCTGTGGAATCCTGCCGCTGGCAGATGAATGAGGCAGGGGAGGCTGTGTAAACAATCTCAAATCCTTTAGCAAATCAGCCTCAATATGTTAGAATAAACTCCCCTTACTCACCTATGGCGATCCCTACTCTCCTAAGATTATGTCTAGGTAGGGGGACTTTTACAAAGTCATCAGTAATCTGGACAGTGTCAAATTCCATGCCTTTAGCTTTATGCACTGTTCCCAAAATATAGTCTGAAAGAAAGACAGAAAAAAATAATTATTATAAAAGAAAGCTAAACCAGCAATTCAAATAAATGATCAAGTGTTAAAGCCATCTAAATAAATTGCCAATAAACAGGCACACCCAGGGTTTCCCTCTCATGTGTACCTGTTTATTGGCAGTCAGCTCTTAGCAAACGACGCTCTGTAACAAGGGCTAAACTACGAGTTTTAAACCACATATCACATTATTTCGACCTAATCCAGAGTTTTTCAAAGATGGAATAAAAATGTTTTTGGATATCAGTTATCAGACAATGTGCCTCTTGATTTAACTCCGACACCTTCTGCATGGCTCCCTAATAGTCTATTATTCTGTAAAAATGATTTTAAATGATGTACTTGATATGTAGACATTACATTCCACTGACTGAATGTTACCTGGTTATTATAAGGTTACAAAAGGGGGGTTCTCTCCTGGGAATCCGAGCTATAAAGCACACCACTCCTGTGGAGATATAATGGGCCTGTCACCGTGTCCGCGACCCATGCTGCATATCAAAGAACTAGGAGGGTTGGCTAAAAAGATTAGCCAAACCAAGAGGTCACTCTACGGAACGCGATAGGCAAAAGTTAATATAAAAATATTTATTGTACAAAAATGTAAGTTCTACAAGTATTCACCAGTGAGGCATAGCATCTGCAGACTTTAAGGACAAACATAAAAGTGGTAGCAATGGATGATTCACATGAAATCAATCATTTTTCAAATGCAAAAACACAATAGGACTCCGTATATCCTCACCATGAAAAAATATACTGAATTAAACTCAGATATTATGGGTATAATAGAAAAACAGATAATCTGCGCTAGTGGAGAAAGAAAATAAAAGAAGAAAAACCGGATATTCTACAAGCTGCTGAAATTCAGGCTAGGGAGCCTCAAAGGTTAATTGTTCAGTGGCACAGCGCTATGAGTTTCCCGGTGTATTTTAACAGAGACAAATGTGTAAAAAAACAGTGTATTTGTGAATCTGTGCAAAACATAAATTATTGATTGAATGAATATCGAAATTTAAATGAAGTGTGTTGCTGTCTTCTTTATAGAATATGTAAATGATAAATCTATGTGTAAAACACTAGGCATAAAAACATTTTTTTATCGTTCTTTAGAAGAAAAAAACTGTTTGTGTAGGACTAAATCTATAATCCTGTGGGTGTGGATCCACCTGCAATACTATGTGCAGTACGACATGAGTGTTTGACCAAAATCAAGTGAAGAAATAATGTGGAAAAAATATAAAGAAATAAAATATATCAAATTGTCTCTGTTAAAATACAGCGGGAAACTCATAGCGCTGTGCCACTGACCAATTAAAATTATGGGTATAATGCAGCAATGATGAAGCGTGAATTGATTGTATTGATCAAAACTAGTTGAAAAATACTGATGGTAGGTGTAATAAATTGATGTAGTTCATACAAAGTCACAACTGCAGACTTCACTTGAGACGTTTGATCATACCTTGATATTTAACATTAATCCAGGCAGTTTCTTTTGTGTGTGATTTTAGTCACGGTAAGACATTGTAGTTACACCAATCGACATATCCTTGATGGATAATTTGTATCACTTGTGTGAGCACTTCGGCTGTGTTAAACACAGATAGTATAGGGTGGTCCCTGTGCTTTGAATGTGTCTTTCTGATAGTTGTATCGTTCACAAGTGGTACATCAAACACTTTACATGTAGTAGGAGAGATGTAACAGAGATCTCTGTATATTTTTTAAGGTATCTTTACTCACAAGAGCTGTTTTATCCAGGATGCCGTTAGATTTTTGCGGATGTGATCACATTTTGTCCGCTTGTCAAAAAAGGTTTTATTCCTTGCTGCAGTCACTCCAGGTTGAGTTTAGGTTTGAGCGGTATGTCCGAATATAGACGGTCCGTCGTTCATTGCGATATTTCACCCATGCATGGGGAGTATTATGGCCATCCAATCTGGCATGCTACCAGCAAACAAACTGCGTGTTTCGCCCCTCCTACATTGGGGCTTCGTCAGGATGTAAGGGGAGGTCCAGTGGGTTACCTGTAAATGGTCATCTCACACCTGGAATTAATCATCTCCTTAGTTCGTTGATGGGTCGGGATTGGCTTAGTATCCGTGAAGTCAAAACAGACTTACATTTAAAAAAGGAAAGAGAAAAACTTTTTCTTTGTGAATTTTTTTTCTTTGCTATTTTCTCAGCGAATCTTATGAGTAAGGGAGTCGTTATAGAGAGGATATTAAGGGCAAAGCGAGTTTTCAAAGGAACACTCCCAGATTGAATTCGTTGTTGAGGCCCCGTGGTATCATCGTATCTAATATAAAGATCCACATTTTCTCCTTTTGTAGTAAGATCCTATCAAAGTCCCCTCTAGGAAGTGAGAGGTTCAGGGCATATATTGCTTTGACCTTGAGACCTTCAGGTGATCCATTGTGGGCTTCTGTGAAATGTATTGCCAAGGGGCTTTCACTGTCTTTTTTCTTTATGTCCCTAATATGTTCATTGATGCGGATCCGCATTTGACGTTTGGTTTTGCCCACATAGAACTTGTGGCAGGGACATTCTAATTGATAAATGATCTTACTGGTGCCACAATTTACAAATTGGGTGATATTGTAGATTTTATTGCGTTCAGTGTTTTCGAAGATTTTAGTCTTATCTACAAATGGGCACATGGGAACATACCCACAGGTCTATTTAAGAAAGTGGATTTTGAAGGATTGGGTTTATATTCGGAGTGAACTAGAGCATCCCTCAAATTCTGGGCTCGACGGGCTGTAAGCAGGGGTCTGGGGCCGACGATTTCAGATAGTGTAGGACTCAAATTCAAAATATGCCAGTGTTTTGTTAGAATTCCTCTTTCCCATCCTAAGCCATATTTAGTGATCATCCTTACATGTTCAGTCTTTTGAAGGGGAAGGGGTATCTCACTGCTACTACTACTAGGGGTTTCTTTCTTACCCCAAAAGGAGCTGGGTTCTAGTTCTTTCTTTTACTTTGATTCTACTTTTCTTAAGTGTTTTGTGAGAGTAGCCTTGTTCCCTAAACCTGCCATATAGGGCTTTTGATTCGTTAATATAGTGAGTCTCTTTACTGCAATTCGGTTTTATTCATAGGAATTGTCCCGTCGGGATTCCCTGTTTTAGGGGGGGAGGATGATGACTTTCCGCATGTAGCAAGGTGTTAGCTGCAGTTTCTTTGCGGAACGTTTTAGTCATAATCCTGTCCAATAAAGGGAGTTCAGTATGGCTGAAAGTATATGTTAATTTAAAATTTGTCATTTTGGTTTAATTCTGCCGTGAAGGTTTTGAGGAGGTCTTCACCACCACTCCACACTACCAAAATGTCATCAATGTACCTGAACCATGTTTTAGCATGGCTCAGGTACAAGGACCTGCGGAATGTGCCAGTGCTTTATCAATACCATCAATGTAAAATATGAATTCTTGTCTGCCTTCCGGTTGTTTTCTAACCCTTTTGCTGTCGCAACTACTATGGAGGCTGCAGCACTAGAATGTAAAGCTGCTATAGCAGCAATGCGTTTGCTTACCATTTTATTGCTAGCTAGCTTCTCTCTATAAGAAGTGATTCAGGTGGCAGTAGAGTCACCCAATCACTTCGACACCGCTAGAAACATTCTGAATTTTGGTGTTTGACATATTTGGTATCTATTTACTCGACACAACCTCATCTTTTAAGTTACCAAGAAGCGGGATTACATTGTGTTTGTGTGCACTACATTTGAGTGCATTTTGTGTGAAAATAACAATTGATAAACAGTTAACATTGTGTTACATAAAAATAAATTTGCAATTACAACCATTTTATTCTACCAAGTCTCTGCTTTTAGAAAATATATAATGTTTTAGGGTGGTAAGTGCATTTTCATGTAAAAAATCCTTCTCTCCGGGTCAATTGAGGGGCACAGCTTGATGTTAATTAAGAAACCTAGGGTTACACTGCTCCTACAGGAGAAATGGATGATAGGCGAATAAAATTGAAGGCCTGCCCCTTAAAGGCAACAATTCTTTCCACATGCTCACTTGTAGCGAGCAATCCAAATAGAGCACAATAGGATATTAGGAGAGGGAGTTGTGTCTCACAATGGACCCAGAGAAAATGAATTTACTGCGAGTACAAACATCCTATTTTCTCCATCACCAACTGAGGGAAACAGCTTGATGATAAAGAACATTAGAGATGTCCAAAAGCAATCCAAAGTGTGGGCAAAAAAACCAACACAAACACAGGCAACCCAGCCTAACAAGAGAAAACCAAGGACTTCAAACAGCCACTTGCAGAACATTTTGACCAAAATCAGCCTTTGTCTCCATAACCTCTCTCAAACATTTATCTTCTTAAGCAATGACACTCATTTGTTATCTCTCATCTTAACTACTGCAACTGCCTCCTTGTTGGCCTACCTCTACACCAGCTACCCACCTTCAGTCTATTATGAATGTTGCTGCCAGACTTTTTCCAACCATTCAATGTCCACCACCCTTCACTGCCAAATCATTCCACTGGCTTCTGCTCGCTCAATAAATTACATTTAAAATACCAAAAACAACATAAAAAGCCAGCCATTCACAACTGTGCCACAGCTAACATCACCAACCTCATCTCAAAATATCATCCAAACTATCTGCTCCTCTCCAACTCTCTAGCTCCCTCATCGCCTCCTCCCCTCCCAGCTTCTGGAAATCCCTACCCCAATCTCCTTGACTATATCCTATTCCTACTATCTCATATCTTCTACTCCCAGAAAAATCATCTCTTCAGAGAAGTTTATGCCACCTCCACCTAAAATATGCATTTACTTTCTCCATCCGCTCAGCCCTCACAGCTGTTACATCTTGTATCACTTGCCCCTCCTTTTAGAGGGGCCCTTCTAATCCTCTTATATGGAATGGTATTGTAACTGTACTGTCTCCCTTTATTTTGTAAAGTGCCATGCAAAATGTTGGTGCTCTATAAATCCTGAATAATAGTTATTTTAAAATACATATACACTACAATTTTGTCTTGTAATAGTTTGTATTTTTAGCCAGCAACTAAAGATTTATCCTGCTTTTCACACATCCCCCAGAACCTGCTTAGCAGTCTGTTGTAAAAAGTCTGTAATACACAGAGCTTCTTACACTCAAGATGCAATTTGCACACAAATCACATGGACTCATCTCTTATCACAATGCTCAGTCTAAAGTTTTAATCAGCGGGGAGCAGGCATGGCCTTTAGTTTTTCATCTTCCAAAAATTTGATTACGCTTCAAGAATAACTCCGGGTAAAAAATTCAGGGACTGGACTAAGAGCCAGCTGGCTCCAAAGATCAAGTGAGTTTAACTTTTTTTTTTTTAAACCTAGACACAAATGATCACTTAACCCTTGCAATGCAGGGGTATAGCCCCACTGCAGAGGTTAAAAATATTTCCCTGCTTTCAAATTAATGTGGTTATTGGACAAGTAACAGTACAGTCACACAAGTGTACCGTCTGTTCATACCTGCAGAATCCATATCACGAGTATTGTATGTTTGTATTCTCTTCACCAACTCAGGTATTCGCCGATTGTATTTCTCAACAATAGCAATTTTGCCTTCCAGCTCTCGGTCTTCAGAGCTCACTGCATACTCCTTTAAAGCCATAAATCCTCCTCTCCTTATCCACGTGGCAATAAACTTGTCTTTAATGAACAGTCCCTCTATAAAACATGACACAAATAACAGCATCAAAAACGGCTCTACCCAGTAGTCATTAAAGCTTTATTAACTGCAGTTTCTCTATAAACATAGTGTTGGTATTTAAAGTGTATCTTACCTTAAAATATAATATATCATATTTTGTGTCTGTGTTATGTATTGTTATTTGTAAATGTAGCCTGTTCTCCTATGATTGCTTTGTTTGCCTGCAATTTCTTGTGATCCTGCCACTCCCCCTTTTGTCCTGCTACAATCTAACCACCCCAAGCATGGTACCACATTATCCTACTGTTGTCAGTTTGCATGTCCTACTTGGGAGCTACAGGACACCGTGGCTATGCACAGCATGTCTGTTCTCCTGTGGTCAGACTGCTGCTTACATGCCACCACCTAGCCCTGTGACAGCAGCTGGAATATGTGATGTTGCCAACATCACACATTCCAGCTGCTATCACAGTGCTGGGTAGGGGGGTTAGAAGGCAGTAACAGACACAAGCTGTTCCTCCTTGTGATTTCGACATCACATATCCCAGCCACTGTCACTGGGCTGGGCATGGGTGTCAGCAAGCAGATGTACGAGTAAGAATTTGGACACCGGCACTCCAATTGCAAATCAGATACGTCTATTTATTGACGTACATGCAGCATAGCATAACACACTCAGTGCAACGTTTCGGGGTCTCGCAGGACCCCCTTCATCAAGCAGAACAATTCAAGCGGGGCTGTACAGGAGGTGTGTTGGCACACCCCCTGCCCAGCCCTGCTTGAATGATAGCAGCTGGCATATGTGATGTCAATAAAAAGCTGCCTTGCCCACCTCCCGGAGCCTGGAATGCATAGCAGAGAGCAGGTCACATGACTGATTGCAAGCTTAAAAAAAAAGAAGAAAAAAAAAAGGTATCTACTACGTTTTTCTTTTTTATCAATGCAATCTGCATAATAATGGTATTTGAAATGGTTAGATTTATTTTAAATTGCAAGAGTTGAAATACACTTTTACCAACTCCCGTCCAGCGGCCGTACCTAAACGACCGGACAGGAGCCTTGCAGATGCGGTTGGACGTTTTAAAACGCCCTTCCCGACACGCACAAGTAGGAAAACTACGTTCAATGTGAACAGCCGGCGATGGCTGTTTAAATACAAGTGTTCCGGAGTCTGCAGAGACGCCTGATCGCTTGTATTTTGTGTGGGTGTGCGCCTCCCCCCTGCCGCTGGTCCCGAGATCCACTGTCTCCGGTGCGGGCCGGGACTGGAAAGCCGGGACTGGAAAGCCGGCTCTGTCACCGGAGATCAGTACATGATCTCCCTCTGAACTCCTCTCCGGTGTCAGAATGCAGGAAGTGATGTGTATTACATCACTTCCACATTCAGCTGTCATTTCTGGCTACAGAACCCGGGGAGAAGCTGGTGAAGCAGATCTCTGCTTCAGCTGCTTCTCTAGGGGTCCCTAGGTGACATTAGGGGTCTTGGAGACCCCTGATGTCTCCATAAATATAACCTGTCACGTACATTTTCTATCACATAGGGGGCTTCGTATCCCCCTATGTGATAGCAATAGCATTAAGTGTAAAAGTCCCCCACCCCCACATACACAAGCAAACATGCATCGGGTGTGCCTACGTGCGAAGACGACAATTGCATTCATTGTGCCGCACATGTTACATATCACTGCAAATATAGGATTGTGAGCAATAATTTTAGGGCAATTAATCACCGAGAACACTAAACTGATGAGTGATAAATGCTTTTAAGGCGTCGCCTATGGCCAATTTTGGGTGTGGTAGTGTTTTGTAGAGCTGCAGCTAACGGTTATTTTCAAAATCGATTAGTTGTTGCAGCCCTAGTGTTTTGCAATTTTGCGGACGCATGCAATCTTAAGACTTGACATGTTTGGTGTCTAGTCACCAGACGTGACCCCGTCTTTTATATTTTACCAAAAAATTGGGGTGATGATAAAAGTTTCATAACATAGGGAAACAGAATTTTCCCTACTTTTTTTGTCATATAGTAAAAAAAAAAAAAACCCCAGTTGTGATTAAATATCACCAAAAGAAAGCTCTATGTGTCCCCCAAAAATGGTATAAAAATAATTTCAGTACATGACTGAATAAATGTCAAAGTACTGCAGCACTAAATACTGAAAAATGGGCTGGACAGGAAGGGGGTTTAACACCCTGGTCTTCAAGTTGTTAAATCAAAACATTCAGTTCAGATAGAGAAAATCAACTCAAGGGGGACATAGACAGTAATAAAATCCTGACACAGGTGGTAGCCCTTACCCACTTTTCTAGATTGCTCGTAAAGCCCATCTCTACCAACTGGGGTGATTGCAGTCTTTCCTCATGGACAGAGCGACACTCATGTAGTGATGCGTAAGCGATTTGCTGTCCAGGAGTACCGGGAGCCCACGCTGAGCATGATGCAGCCCCCAGCATAGTTACACGTCCCCAGGGGATTTTAATGCTGTTTGTTTCCCCATAATAAAGATTCTCTCTTCCTGCCTGTTCCGACACCCTTTATGTAATTACCTAGTCAGAAGTTAGGGGAAAGGGAAATCTCCCCATTGAAGGGCACTGACAGTAATAACATATTGACGGTTTCTAACACTTCTGCTCTTACAAAAAAAATTGTATTCAAAATACTACAAAAAAACAAACAAAACCTACGTCTCGTTCTCTCTGAATCTGGCTGAAGCAGCATCCATATGTCATAGATTTTGCTCAGTCCAAAGTTTTCTGGCCCCTGGAATAAAAAAAAGAAAAAAGTTAAAAATATATTTTTTTCCTAGGTGAATCTTGACATTATATGACAACGTTATATCAGTTTATCCTGCTGTGCAGATAACTAAATATAATCTAATCTATGATTTTTTTTTTTATTAGAGGCACATGCACAAATGTGATCAAGTATCTTTAAACATTGCTGTGCGCACAAACGTACACATTTTGAATACCTTGGTTTGCCTACACTTAGAAATGCAAAATGCACCATGTAAAACCTTTCTCGGTCAGGATAATGGGTAATTGTTAGGGTTAATTCAAAAGGACAAATATGTACAGTCGAGCATTGCAGCCAAGTCAAGGATGTTAAATGTCTCGCAAAGGCATTGCAAGCGCTTGCTACACAAGCTGAGGGCTATGGGCATAGATGAGGTGGTGTGTACGTGGATAGAGAACTGGCTACGGGAACGTGTCCAGAGGGTATCTGTAAATGGCACCTTTTCAGACTGGGCTAGTGTAATGAGCGGTGTGCCTCAGGGTTCTGTGCTGGGTCCCATATTGTTCAACTTATTTATTAATGACATCGGGGAGGGTGTTAACAGCGATATTTCCGTGTTTGCGGATGACACCAAAATTGGGAGGGTAATAGACACGGACTTAGATATTATAACATTACAGGAGGACCTGGATAAAATAGGGGAGTGGGCATTAATGTGGCAGATGAGGTTTAATGTCGATAAATGCAAAGTAATGCACTTTGGAATTAAAAATAAACAAATGGGTTATACAATTATGGGTATGCCGCTGGGGAAGTCAGAAATGGAGAAGGATTTGGGGGTCATTGTAGACCACAAACTGAAAGGTAGCTTGCAGTGCCAGGCTGCTGTAAACAAAGCTAGCAGGGTCTTGTCCTGTATTAAAAAGGGGATCTATTGCAGGGACAAGTCTATAATGTTGCCACTTTATAGATCATTGGTTCAACCTCATCTGGAGTACGCGGTCCAGTTCTGGTCACCAGTACTAAGAAAAGATGTCCTTGAGTTGGAAAAAGTCCAGCGGAGGGCAACCAAACTAATTAGGGGTATGGAGGACCAGAGCTACGAGACAAGGCTACTAAATTTAAACATGTTCACATTAGAGGTGAGGAGAATAAGGGGGGATATGATCTCCATGTACAAAATGTTCAATGGTGGCAGCAACATTGGCGATAAACTATTTAAAATTAACTCCGTTACAAAAACTAGAGGCCACCACCTAAAATTCCAGCACAAGGGGCGAAGGGGGTTCTTTACAGTTATAGCGGTTAAGGTCTGGAAATCACTGCCACAGGCAGTGATTTCAGCAAAAAACATGGAATTGTTCAAGAAACTTTTGGATGATTTTTTAAAGGGACAGTAATATACAGGGTTACAGGTAACATACAGGGGTACAGGTACTCCTAAAAACAAGATCCTATAGGTTGGACTTGATGGACTAATGTCTTTATTCAACCTCAAATACTATGTAACTATGTAACTATGTCTGCTGTCGTAGAGGGTCATGATCCCAGACTGGAGAGCAATACAATCTTACATGGCTTATCTTGTAATAGATTCTCTCACTCTTGCCTTTACAGCTCTCTGGTGGCTATACAGAGAAGCACAAAGTCTATGATACATGGTACGATAAATGTTATATTAATAGAAAATTACGAATAGTCAACACATGACGTCAGAAACGAAAGCTGCATCTTTCCTTTTTGATTTTTAATACAAATAGAAGAAGACATGCCAAGCTGAATGATAGCATAATACAAAAGGAAGATGTAAATAAAAAATAGAATAAAAAAGAAGAAAGAAGAAGAGTTATGAACGTCATTGAAGGATAACAATATACACACAGAAGAAAACATACCCCAATGATATGTATCCTTGAAGGAGATTCTCCTTCAGTAACACTAACCGCTTGATCAAACACACAAGCATTGCTTCTGCATAAAATGGCAACTTTGGATTGGGAGGGCTCCCGTGTAGTACCTGTTAAACATAATATTATGACAAGTGGACTTATAACACAAGGTAGCTTATTTTCATAAGGCAAAGTGTAATGGTGATGTGCAGCGTGTAGTAACGCACAGCAGCACAGAAATTTCAGTTTACTAAAGTCAGAGCTAAGAAAGATTAATATCTATTACTATATAAAACAGATAATTATTTGCGCTTTAGGACAATCACCCCTTTATATCCCACCTGACGTGACAGCAGCAGTGAAAGAAAGAGGAGCTGAATTACTCCTCCAGCCACTTAGTATAGAAAATATATATACTGCGCTATTTCCAACCCTCTAAAATGAACCCTTGTGCTAAGGTAACTCATAAATTCATTCAATGTAAATCAAGAAAAAATATATAAAAATCTGTAGCACACTCACCAGATTCTCGAGACCATTTTTTAACGCTCTATCCACTCCTTTTAGATTCCGAGTACTTTTCTCGCCACCAGATCCCAAATGGTTAACAGATTCTCTAGACCCCAAAATGGCCTATTAATGCTCCATCCACTCCTTATAGATTCCGAGTACTTTTCTCGCCATCAGATCCCAAATGGTTAACAGATTCTCTAGGCACCAAAATGACCCCTGGGGACGTGTCACTATGCTGGGGGCTGCATCATGCTCAGCGTGGGCTCCCGGTACTCCTGGACAGCAAATCGCTTACGCATCACTACATGAGTGTCGCTCTGTCCATGAGGAAAGACTGCAATCACCCCAGTTGGTAGAGATGGGCTTTACGAGCAATCTAGAAAAGTGGGTAAGGGTTACCACCTGTGTCAGGATTTTATTACTGTCTATGTCCCGTTGAGTTGATTTTCTCTATCTGAACTGAATGTTTGGCTTTAACAACTTGAAGACCAGGGTGTTAAACCCCCTTCCTGTCCAGCCCATTTTTCAGTATTTAGTGCTGCAGTTCTTTTTTCTTTTCTTTCCACAAGATCTCATATGGTTAACTCGCAAAAAGATCCCCCTCAGATTATTTTAATTTCTCAAATCCAAAAGATCAAAATCGCACATAGCATAAAATCTTTGATGACATTTTATTCAAATGTGATCTAAAAACTTACATTAAAAACGACAATATACAGCGCTGTAAACAAGATTCGACCAATGTCATCAGACAAATCCCTCGGAACTTAATGAAAGATATTGTGCAGTCCACCAATACATCCGAAAAGCTTTCCCAACTTACTGCAAATAGTGTTAGCGTGTAGGCTCGTCCCTGTCACATTTCGTCCGTTGGATTTTTTGAAGAAGAGGATAGGAGTGGATGGAGCGTTAATAGACCATTTTGGGGTCTAGAGAATCTGTTAACCATTTGGGATCTGGTGGAGAGAAAAGTACTCGGAGTCTAAGGCCTTGTTCACACCAAGCGCGTTCCAGAAGCAGAGCAGAGCAGTTACAGACCGGATCAAAACTGCGTCCAATGTATGCCAATGGTATTTTGGGCTCTAGTTCACACCGCAGCGTTCAGTTCCAGAGCATGTAAAAAAACTGCAGCAAGCCCTATTTTACCTGCTCTGGAACGCATGCAAACGCCCTGAAAGCCCATTTTAAACCAAAAACGGCCCGGAACGCATCAGAAATTTCGGCACAACTCACTGCACCGCGTATGCAGAAACTCATGCAGATCTGGTCTGCATTTGGTGTGAACAAGCCCTTAAAAAGGAGTGGATGGAGCGTTCAAGTTTTGTTTGAAATTATGGACACTATATTGCGGCAGCACATTGCATGATCCCTACTGTATTTATATACAGATAATTTTACAAGGTTTAATTTTAGAGTTTTGAAGAGCACGGCGTATATAATTTCAATATCTATTACTAGTCTAAAGCTAAAACACCAGATTTGTTTTGGGAATGTTCATTTGATTTTCTAATATTTAATGGGGTCAAATCGGCAATTGTTTTGGACCGCAGTGATGCGAAACTCTAGGGAGCATGATGTAAAATTTTTCCCAAATGATTGAAATTCTAACAGTGAATGTGGTTTTCGTTCATGAAAATCCGTTTTGTTCTAATCTGATAAACTCTTGGGCAAGGATCAGGATATTTAGGTCTACCCTAGGTGGCATTTTTTCTCTACAGATGCTGGAATGGCTCATTGCTGAACACATCTTCTGAACTGGTTGAGAAATAACAATGGGGGCGTATGCTACAGAGTATAGACAGATGGCAGTTGACCAGTCTAAATCTTACCTTTCTGGTTACCCCCAACTAAGGTCTTATTCCGTACGTTCTTACAAACATCAAGTATAGTGGCTCCAATATAAGCTATTTCAGCACCAAATCGAAAGCTCTAGAATATAAGAACAAAATGAATTTACATATTCTGCTGAACAGGATAGTCAGGCTGTCTAATCTGTCATCCACTGATTGCAACAACTCTACCAAATGATAACAGGAAATTATTTCTTCAGGTTTCATTGTATAAATAATTTGTTGCTATTATGTCCCCCCTTGGTCCATGATAGGTTTTTGCTGATATTGCTGATATAAAAAAGAATTTCCCTCACTGCCCGTCTTGCTGGAAACATTTTACCAGACAGGAAGTGAAAGCAACTCTCCAAAAGCAACAAAGACAGAAATAAAAATGCTTTTCACTGCTAAAGGAACACTAGAACTTTTGCCACAGTCCCGGATAGCAGTTCTGATCCTTCCCCCGCTCTATCCAAAAGTAGAAAAAAAGTTTTTGGCTTGATACGATACACTTTAAATTTGTGATATCTCTCCTAATAGACAAGGAAACCATAAAGTACCAGTGTGAGGAGCCTTATATTAAAGCTCTCGGGCTATATTGCAGCTCTGGGGGCATTGAAGCTAAACCTATTCAGCTTCCTGGCAAATTAAATCACTCCCTGGAAAAAGCATTAAAAACAGTAGTCAGCGGGTCACCAATCCACATATACCCTAAAATCCAAAAAGCATGAGCTGTAAACAACCCTCACTGGCCAAACTTCTCCATGAGGTCCAACTATGATTACTGCTTTCCGTTATTCACCTGGATTCTGTACAAACATGGCAGCATTCTCTTTCCACTCTTCTGTTTATCCCAACAGACTGAAATATAAGGGGCTACCAGTATAAATCAGCTCCAGGAACTTTAATTTCATTAAGGTCACTAAAACCCTGGGAATTCGGATTTCCAAAGCAGCCAGCCTACTTTATCTCTTACACTGGTTACCCTATTTTATCATTTCTGGTTGCTCATAACCCATGGAGGTGAGGGGATGCAACAAGATACAGGTGTCTTTAACCAGTTGACATCCGCGGTGTTAAACCCCCTTCAACGACGTGGGTAAAGATGGTTCTGGGGACTTACAGACAAGGACAAATGTGGTTTAATTTTTAGCAGATGTCGAATATCATGGCAGGTATAAACTAACCTGAGTAAGATAGAAGATATGAGTGTGTGGCACTTCACAAAGGGCATTCACTGCTCCACGGAAGGTGTAGATTTGCTGGTGCGGATCCCCAACAAATATTTTGCCACATGTTTGAGAAAGGACAACCTCCATAATAGCTGCAAGTAAATGAATAGTGACAGTTAAATTTAAAAAATCTTAATTTTCATCGACATGTTAAGCAGCATGCCATTTTCCAGAAATGTGGTGGTCCTAATCTAAACAGCTGTAACATAAAATAAATAAAAAAAAGTTAATATCAAATTGATAAGCTATGTTAAGTAAAGACAGAGCCGTAGCTAGCTCCTTTTGTGCCCGAGGCAAGAACAGAAAATCGTGCCCCCCAACAGATGCGTTATGTCACCCTATGCCACGCACGGCATCATGTGATGTCATGCGCCCCACCTCCAGGATGGCGGCACCAAATAGCATAAAAATTTGTTTTATTTGACGAAACTAATGAAAACATTTTTAGTTTCCGTTCATTTAGTCTTTGCACATGTCTAATAGTGTGTGTCTGTGTGTGTGTGTGTGGTGGGGGGGCGGGTTCTGGGGGCTTCAAGGAAATGTCAGGGGTCTAAACTGAACTCTGACATTTCCCTTTTGAAATAGAAAAAGATATTGAGGACACAGAGTCCTCTGGCCATGCAGCGGGGATTGCGAGGAGAAGCTGAGTTGGACGTCTGGCGCCCCTGTTGCCAATGGCGCCCTGTGCTCGCCATGGCAACAGGGACAAGGGGGCGCAGCCAGGCTGGCCCTGGCTACACCCCCTCTCAGCTGCGCCTGAGGCGAGTGCCTCACACGCCCCATGGTAGCTACAGCCCTGAGTTAAGATGTATCCAAAGCCAAATTATTTTTTGTAATGGATAGGGTGGTGAATGGTTTGAACCCCTGTCAGGTTTTTATTACTGACTGTGTCCCCACTAGGGAGATTCCCCCTCACTATTTGTCCTGGTGATCACTGCCATCAAGACTAAAAGAAATGGGAAAATCCATCATTTTAAATTGTCACCGATTTAGGAATAGAGCTGGAAATCTTCCAATGAGGGCACAACTGTCTACAAGAAGTTTTCCCTTTCTTTGAAGATATTACCTCTCACTTACTGTTGAATTTACAGGTCAGGAAGTTAAAATGTTTTTTTTTAAATAGACATTTAAATGTGCAGATGGTCCTCGATCTCCTCCCACTTACTATCCTGACTGTGTTCGTTCTGAGCCGGAGAGACCAGGAACCATTAAGGGGGGGGGGGGGGGGGGGGGGGGCACCCACGCAAAGGTAACCGCGGGCATACGGCGGGGGGGGGGGGGGGGTTGGCGGCACCCCGTCAATTATGTAAAAGGGATCAGGCGGCATTATAGCCTTCCAGATTAACTTTACTGAAAAGCCCTCAGCCTGCTGAACAAAAACAGCCACGAGCTTGTTTTACCCCGCCAGGGCTGGATGTAGGATAAACATGGTTACGCTTCTTTTTCAGTTGTGTTGCCTAAAGGATAATTAAAGCCTCATATGCTTTTGCATATATCTATTCCTAGCAAACAGTAGATCTATGCAAAAACATGAAAAAAAATTCCACGTCCAAAGATCTGAAGATTCTCGGGCGGCCGCAAATGATCATGGGGCGGGCGCATGCGCAGTACAGATCTTCGGCTGGGAGATGAGGAGAGACACAAGGTAAGTGAATGCAGCAGCGTGCTCCCACACAGACTCGTGGGACAGGGAGTACCAGAAAAAGAGGAGTCAGTGCTGGACCAGAGGCCTGCATCAGCGCTGGGGGAACCCCTGAAAACTCCTGGAAGGAAGAAAATGATGGGATCAAGAGGCATCATTTAAGGTAAGTCCTTACACTAGCATGGGGGGGGGGTAGTGACATATATGTCACTTTTTTGAATTTTTTTCCTACACTGTATTTGATGTTACATGGACTTTACTGCTTTGTCTAGCACTTGTTTTATGACATTTGGATACCCAGAGCTTAGCATGTGACTGAGGATTTATACACCGATATAGTTATAGTTCTTTGCTTGATTTAATAATTTATATGGAATTTCACCTGATTCTAGCTCGGCACATTATTGTTTATTTATTTGCTCATGTTTTATGATTATAGTACCTAGCAGCTCATATTTGATTTGATTTAGTGGCGCAGATCATTATTGTTCATATATTAAATTTTTGGTTTGGGGTTTAGATACACATTAATAGAGATACTTATCGGTCTTCACTTTTGTAAAGGAGCTTAGACTTGTGGGACTTACACTTGCGCACGTGAAAACAGAACAGAGACAGACGTCAACTCAACCTCAAAGCATTTTTTAACATTACTAGCATAGTAAATGTCCATGCCCGAAATGAAAGCTTACAGCTTACAAAAGCTACGGTCTCAAAATATTCCACTCATGCTGGAATGCTTGGCTACTTCACTCCAAAGGTAGAATGGTCAAGTAGCAATGCCCTCTTATTTATCTTCTTATCAGTCTATGTTGTTCACTGGAAATATTTGGCACACAATAATGCCTGGTATAAAGACCTGAGGTAATCTGTATTGTATGTTCCTATTTTATTGTATTTTTGTTTCTGGTACTTTTGTTGCCTTTTATATGGGACGCTGTAATGTATCTGTTTATTATCTGGAAACCCAATAAGGTTTGAATGGAAAAGAAAGGAAAACCAATCTGAACATTGAGCTTAACTTACATGGTGTGCAGTCCTGTGCTTCATCAACAAATATAACATCATAAGAAGAGAGATTAGGCCCACGAAGCTGCCAGAGCTTCAAATAGCCTGTGTGCGAAAAAAGTCAGATTGTAACTATATTGCAATATAAAATATATATATCTATATATAAACAAATGACACATTATTGAGTTTCGTTATGCTCCTTAGTGTGCGCATCCCAATATAATTCATCATTATGTGTGCCAGGATAATCTTACAAAGCAAATTCAAGAGTTCCAGGTGCAATGCAAATACTGACAAAACAGCTCAGCCTCTGTTTTCGGCAATTTGCATTCAAGTGCATGTCCAGCCAAAATGTTTTGGATAGAGTGGTGAAGGATTAGAATCCCTGTAAGGTTTTAACTGCTATCTGGTACTCTGTTAGAGAGATTTACTCACATCCTGTTCACAATGAGATTTTACATCGTACTTAACATAAAATCCTTTGCTTGGAGCCTATTGAGGGACACAGAAAGTCTTAAACCTTTGTGTTCTACTGCCTCCTAAGAAAGAACTGGAGGCTGGCGAATAAAAAAGGTCACCCCAGGGAATAACTCCCTTACTATCAGCATGCCTCAAGTTTTTAGTAAAGCCGTATGAAGAGCTAAGAACATGATCATAAAACATAATCGCTTACAGGCACATGAAAAAACAAGAACTGGTCGACGAGCTGTCTGAAGTGCCTTATGCCCAAAACTAGCATCAGATGAGGCTGAAATGTCCACCTGGTCGAACCTACAGAACATGTAAACAAAAGACTGGATGGCATCCTTGTAAATCTAGGAAACAGAGGCCTGATGCGGAAAAGCCCAAAAGGTGCTCAGAGACCTGGTGGAGTGAGCCTTAACAGGAAAAAGGGGAACACAATCCCTGTGACCATAAGCCTCAATGAAATTATGCCGGAGTCACCTAAACCTGGAGAAACAAAGTAAAGAGGCACCCTTCCTGGGCCCATCCGCAATGATAAAAAAGGAATCTGAAGATGCAGTGGCTAAAACAGCCAACTGAGTAAAATTTTATTTTGATGTACTAGAGCTAGACATAGGGACAGACAAATCCCCTGGTTCAGGTAAAAGGCTGAGACCACCTAAGGCAAGAAGGAAGTTCTAGGCCACACCACCACCTAGTCCCTATGCAGGATCTAAAAGGGTTCTTTGCAAGATAAGGCTGCCAAGTTCAGACACTCACCTCGCAGAAATGATAGCTACAAGGAACATAACCTGGTGGGTAAAAGTAGAGAAAGGAATATATCTAATAGGTTCAAATGGAAGCTTTTGAAGCTCCAAGAAACCCATATTCCAATCCCATAGCATCACAGGTAAAATGACTGGGGGAACCACATGGGAGACCTCTGAAGAAAAGTCTTAATCAGGAGTATAAAGCCAACGTTTTACAAAACAGAATGGAGAGTACAGAGATTGAAATTTGATGGCACCAACAGCCAAATGTCAAGATCTAACAGCAGGGGGAGAGAATTAATCCCATGGTGAAACTCCTGGGGTGGAAGCCCCTGGACTTAGACAAAGTAAAACACGCCTTCCACGTCTGATGATAGACTTCGCAGGAATTGAAGTTCCTAGCCTTGAGCATTGTAGGAATTACCGACTCAACCCGGCTTCAATGGCTATGCTGTTAAAGCCAATGATTAATACGCAGGATAGCAAACCAGTCCTAGGGACAGTAGATCCAGAAGATCTGGCAGGGTTTATGGAGCTCTGGCTAAAAGTCTTTAAATCGAGTTTTATTTTCAAAGGTTTTTGAGGAAAAAAACCCCAAAAGAACATAGACGTTTTTGTCACAAAGGATGCATTGTTCAGTACAGAAGAGAAAAAATAGTGAAGTACAGCAGAATATAGATCTAATAAATAACAAATTGTCCATAGTTGCAAGGAAATATCATGTACATTTTGGAAATTAGGGGCACTCCTTCATGTGGAGGAAGGCTTGTCTGAGGATTTCAGACTTGGAATGCAAGACTATGTGGGTGGAAAGGTAGCCAAGCTTAGAGGGCTTTAAAGCTTAGGTCAAGGGAATGGAAAATAGAAAGCGAATTGTGTTATTGCTCACGGAGGGAGACAAATTCACAGTCTGTTCCTTAGGCTTCTTCTGATGGGGAAGATGAGTGCTCTTACCAGCAGTAACTTTCAAAGAGGTACTATCCCTTGAAGCCCATGCAGATGAAAACACTTCTTGCAAGACAGTTCAGCAGTCCAACACTTGAGCCATGTGAAAATAAGGTGGGAGGCTTCCAGTAAGCTCATGAACGTAATGTCACCAGCACACCGTAGTAAAGTGTCCCAAAAAACATCTAAATTTATTGAGGCACATTGTCACTTGCAAAGTGCAACGTTTTGGGGCCGCACAGGGTGCCCTTCGTCAGGCTCAAAATGCTTGATGAAGGGGACCCTGTGTGGCCCCGAAACGTTGTGCTTTGCAAGTGACAATATGCATCAATAAATTCAGAATTTGTTTTGGACACTTTACTATGGTGTTCTGGTGACATTATGCTCACGTTCTGATTCAAATGGCACCATCTGCGGTCATTTCAGCACCCATCTTCCATTGGGACGTCCAGTATGGAGTGCGGCAGGACATACATATACGTCGCTTCCCGTGAGCTGTCACAGATAAAATCTAGTGCCACAGCCTTCTGCTCTGCACACTCAATGAGCAGAAGGTCAACGGCAGCAGTAGTGAGATCCCTTTTAAAAGGGAGTTTGCCCAGTCAAACATGGTTTGACAAGTCACAGCCAAAATACAGTGCAGGGTGAGACCCACCAGAGAGAAAAATCTTCCGGAAAGGGTTTCCAACTATTTAGTCCATAAAAGCAGGTGCATCTTCCTCTGGTATGGTAGTCGAGTTATCAGGGCTCTTTCAAACTTTGTACAGAAACAGCTGAAACAGCGGGTGCAAAGGGGAAGAGTTTGGTACCTTAGGGGCCCTATATAACCCAGGCTGGAAATAACACTGTTAGAAGCAACAGGATGATCCTCTAGCTTCAGGGAGGTGTGCACATTATAAAAAAGAGCCACAATTATCTCCTTTAACTTGGAAGTAATAGCAGAAAACGGTGACTCCTCAGGGGTAAGCTCATTCAACAAAGATTTCAACAACTCAGAATCAGGCAGATTCTCTGAGGCCAACGCCTAAGCATCTGCTAAGTCTGTGCATAAGATACAGAATTGGCTGGAGAGGTTGTGGCCTAAGCTATCAAAGACAGTAAATAACTAGGTAATTTAGGTCTTGTATGACAGTAAAAAAACCTCAGCTGAGAGGGGAGAGGACCCAGTCACGCCCGACAGAGCCATGAGGTCCGAGAATGGGATAGCCTCTAACAGAAGACATTATGACTCCAGGCTACATATGTCGGCAACAGAGGGTACACTGCATGCAGTCCCCAACTTGTTAGGAGAAAGTGAGCTGGGGGCACCTAGTACAGTTAGACTGTTCCCCACCCATTCCTCTGTGTAGAATCAGACATGTTGTGTCCACAGGGTGGTTACACAACATACAGGCTGAGGGTAAGAAGCAAGACCTCAAGTACTCATGAAACCCAGACAGCTGGTAGCAGATGGGAGTCACTGAACCAAGGGTAGGATGAGCGGAGATGATCAAAATCAATGTAGACAGGCCATAGATAGAATGGATGATAAATGCACATGGCTCTTTGCAAAAGGAGCAGCAGCGGGGAGATGCTCCCTCAATGCTGTATAGTGGGAAAAAAACATGCTGAGTCCATGACACTCCACCCAGTGTAGGACATCATCACCCTGTCCCACAATGTTGACCCCTTACACAGCAAAGTCATCAGGAGACAGGGGAAAAACACGACCAATAAAAAGGGAATTCCTGGTGCTCAGCCTCACAGGTATACTCACTGAGTCTTCAGAGACAGGGCAAGTGAGAGGCAATGCCAAAGTCTCCACAGTTAAAGCCGACCCTTTTACTAAAAAAAACAAAAACATTAGCAATTTGCATGCTGATTTAAAATAATCTTACATTCATTAGTTAAACAAACTTGTTTTTCATTTACTTACAAATAGAGTTCATCTACTTCCTGGTCCAGTTCTGGCACAAATGATGTAAGTGCCAAAGTGTTGTATCCTGGGAAGGTTACAGCAGCAGAGCATTGCTGGGAAATCTTATCTGTAATCTCATGAGATCTCAGGCCTGGTTCACACCTGGGCGTTTTACAGCGCGTTCCTACGCCCTGTAAAATGCTCAACATGTGAAAACCAATGATTGCCTATGGGCATGGTTCCCACCTGGGCGTTTTACAGCGCGTAGGAAGTGAGTGTAGATCTCTCTAACATAGTCCAGGATAAATATCCAGTACATATCTCATACACCAAGGAGTTAAACTTGATAGGATCTTTTTTAAATCATGGGTCTTGTGTCTCACATCAGATCATAGAGCAACCCATAATTATTAACCCTGAAATTATGCACAACTAAGGTCTCACCATCATGTGTCATTTTGTAAGCAAGCTGGTTGGATTCTTCAAGACTTTTCATTCTTTCCCAAATCCTATTTGCTTCTCTCACTGCAAACTATAGGGAAAACAATAACTATTTATGTACATTCAAACAGAGAACCCTACAAATCTAAAAGGTATGAAAGAACAACAGCAGTGGCATAATGGACACTGCACTAATTTATTAATGCCAAACTCTAGGAAAACAGCAAAACAGTTGAAATACACACAAGGATTTATAATTCTGTCCAGGCACCCTTAATACCCAATTTGTTTTCAGTTTTGAATGGGATTAAAACCTTTGTTCTTTTATTTTTTTGCTGTTTGTGTCCCATTGGGGAGGAGAAAGCTGTAC